CCCCTCGGGCCGGCGGCCTGTCAACAGAACCCCCCCTCCGCAAGCACAGACGCCCCCCCCTTCGCGTCTGCGCGTGGTGTCCCGGCGCGCGCGGCCCTGTCACTCATTTTGGTCCTTTCCAATCTGAGGGCCCACAAGTGGCATCACCGCTCTACGGTTGGAATTTACCCGTCTCTGGTTACCAGGGAGGGTCTGTACCCCCTTACCCCACCCCCATTTTCACCCCTGGCCTGCGTTCTCTCTTCTCCCTAGCTGTATTTTTGCTTCCTAATACATTCTCTTTATTTCCTTTTTTATAAAATCAACATGCCTCACAAAATTGAAAGTAATGAAATTTATTTTTGAAAGAAATGATTTAGCCTGGGAAAGTTTTAAAAAATCATTATGTTCACCTGTAGCACACAAAATATTTTCTTTGGGTTCCACCCCATTATTTTTAGAATATTCTTGCTTGTTTGAAAATCTTATGGAAAAAAGAGAATAAATCGTCCTTAATACAACCGGTGTTTTCAAAATGATTTGTGAAGTAAATCTTCAGGAAGCAGTTCCCTCTCTAGATCTTGGTCATTTTATGTAAATAATCTACCTTTTTAAAAAAATTTTTTTGAAGCAAATTTCTAGTTGTGTTAATAAACATTTCTATTTTATTGTATTATACCAAACATTCATTAAATATGGAAAAGCATTTGCTGATAACTAACATCACCTGCTGAAAATTAATGACTATTACTATTAATGGTTTTAAAGACAAAGCAAAGGGAAGAGCTGTAAAGCCAAGGCATGTTGCATTATGCAAAGATAGACCATCCCTCTCCAGACAAGAGGTTAGGAAGGCGCTGTTTTCCCACTCCCGTATTCCAGAGCTTCTCATTTCCTATGTTCAGACTCCTGGCTCTATAGCTGGGGTAATTGCTCGGGGAGGATGAGGTGTTTCTCTTGGACCTTTCTGCTATCCTTCACCTGCCTTTGATGGTACAAAATGGAATTGCTAACTGCCTCACCTCCAGCAAGAGTCTAGTCTTACTGCAAGGTCAGTCTCTGCCAGTCCATACCCACCCTGATACCTCTTCATTTATGCTGGGGCATGAAGAATACGCCCCTCTGACCATCCTGAGTAAACTTGGCATTCTCAGTTCAGAAGTCTGTGGAAGCCCTCAATAGTTACTCAAGATTAACTATTGGTGGTGTGGGGGGCAGTGGTATATTTACTTTTTTTTTTTTTTTGAGTTGGAGTCTCACTCTGTCGCCCAGACTAGAGTGCAGTGGTCGCTCCCGGCCACCGCAGCCTCGATCTGCTGGGCTCCGGCGATCCTTCCGCCTCAGTCTTCCAAGTAGCCAGGATTACAGACATGTGCCACCACACCCGGCTGATTTTTTTTTTTTAATTTATTGTAGAGATGAGGTTTCGTTGCCCAGGCGGGTCTCAAACCCACGGGCTCAGGCAATCCACTCACCTCAGCCTCCCAAAGGCTCGGGATTACAGGCTGAGCCACCGAGCCTGGCTATACATTTACATTTTTGTGGGGAGAAAAAGGGCCATACTTCTTAGAAGATTCTCAAAAGAGGCTGTGATTTCTCCCCTCTCAAAATGTTTAAAAGTCCCTGACCCCTGCAGGTCAGGTGATATCTCTCCTCTCCTCTCCTCTCCTCTCCCCTCCCCTCCCCTCCCCTCCCATCCCCTCTCCTCTCCTCTCCTCTTTTTCTCTCTCTCTCATCACATATTCCCATCCCCTCTCCTCTCCTCTCCTCTTTTTCTCTCTCTCTCATCACATCTTCCCATCTTAGATCAATTTCTTTTCATTTTCTAGCCTTAGCATTCACTCATTGGCCAACCCAGAAACTTGGCTATTATCCTTGACACCCTCTACATTGTCCCTCATATTCAATTAATAACCAAGTCTAGTTAAGTCTCAATTTATATCTTAAAAAAAAAACTTTATGGGGACACAATTTACAAACAGTAAGATTTACCCATTTAAAGTGTAAAATTCAGTGGTTTTTAATATATGCACAGTCATCACCACAGTCAATTTTAGGACATTTTCATTACCTCAAAAAGAAATTTCTGGCCAGGCATGGTGGATCATGCCTATAATCCTAGCACATAGGGAGGCCAAGGTGAGAGTATTGCTTCAGCCTAGGAATTCAAGATTAACCTGGGCAACATAACAAAAATCTCTACAAAAATTTTTTAAAAAGCCATGTGCGGTGGCACACACCTGTAGTCCCAACTACTTGGGAGAATGAGGCAGAAAAATCGTCTGAGCCCACAAGGTCAAGGCTGCCACTGCACTCCAGCATGGGCAACAGAGTGAGACTATGATTCAAAACAAACAAAAAAGAAACCTCTTGTTCTTTGCTTTCACTCCCCTGTTTCCATTCTCTCCAGGCCAAAGCAACTACTATCATGTTTTCTGTCTCTATAGATTTTCCTATTTTTGACATTCTCCACAAATGAATTGTATGATATGTGTTCTTTAGGGATTGTATTTTTTTCAGTTAGCATAATGTTTTAAATGTTTATGGTAATGTGATTAACCATTTGAGGAATTGACAAACTGTTTTCCAGAGTGGCTGAACGTTTTATGTTGCTGTCAGTAGTGTAAAATAGTTTGGATTTCTCTGCATCCTAGTCAACATTTGTTATTATCTGATATTTCAGTTCTAGCCGTTTTGGTGGGGGATGAAATGGTATTTTATGGTGGTTTTGGTTTGTATTTCCCTGAGGACTAATGATGTTGAACATCTTTTCATGTGCTTATTGGCCATTTGTCCATCCTTCCTTTCTTTCTATCTTCTTTCTTTCCTCCCTCCCTCCCCTCCCTCTTTCTTTCATTCTTTCTATCTTTATCTTTCTCACTCTGTCGCCCAAGCTGGGAGTGCAGTGGCATGCTCACAGCTACTCAGGCAATCCTTCCATTTCAGCTTTCCAAGTAGCTGGAACTACAGGCATGCGCCACAATGCTCAGCTAATTTTTTGATTTATTGTAGAGACAAGGTCTCACCATGTTGCCCAGATTGGTCTCAAACCCATGGGCTTAGGCAATCCTTTTGCCTCCACCTCCTATATTGCTGGGATTACAAGCATAAGCCACCATGTCTGGCTGCATATCTTTCTTAAACATATGTCTATTCAGATATTTGTGCATTTTTTGATGATTTGTCTTTTTATTATTGAGTTGTAAATATTTTATTTTATTTTCGTTTAGTTATTTTTTTAAGTTGGAGTTTCACTCTGTCATCCAGGTTGGAGTGCAGTGGCATGCTCACAGCCACCACAGACTCAATCTTCTGGGCTCAGGCAATCCCTCTGCCTCAGCCTTCCAAGTAGCTGGAACTACAGGCGCATGCCACCACACCTGGCTAATTTTTTTATTTATTGTAGAGATGAGGTCTCACCAAGTTGCCCAGGCTGGTCTTGAACCCCTGGACTTAGGCAATCCTCTTGCCTCAGCCTACTAAAGTACTGGAATTATAGGCTTGAGCTGCTGCGCCCAGACTTTTTTTATATATTTTAGATAGAAGTCCCTTACCAGATATATAATTTGAAAATATTTTAGTTCAATCTGTGCATTATTTTATCACTTTCTTATTGATGCCTTTTGAAGTACACACAATAGCTTTTAATTTTGATGAAGTTTATATTATTTTTTTTCCTGGTTTTGGTGTCAATTTTAAGAATTTTTTGCCTAAGTTAAGTTCACAAGTATTTATCCTTTTTTTCTCTTGAGAGTTTTATAGTTATAGCTCTTCCATTTAGGTCTTTGATCCAGTTTGGGTTAATCTTTTTATAAGGCAGAAGGTAAGAATGTAACTTCATTTTTTTTTACATGTGGCTATAGAATTGCCCTAGTACTATTTTGTTGGGAGCCAGCCACGGAGGCCCACTGAGCGTTAGGGATCAGCAAGGGCTGTTGACCCCGAGACCACTAGGATGCGTTCGGGAGCTATTGACCCTATTTCCTCCCCTTTTCTACTCACCACTAACCAGATTAAGCTCCTGTGAGCTGAAAACATAAAAACTCTGAGACTGGGACGAACACAAGCTAACTTTAGAAGCTCATTGCTCCCATTCTTCCACAAACTGCAGTTTTGACTTTCACACAACTTATAATTCAAACTCGTGTCACATCTAAGAGCCTTAGTATTGGTCACAGACTTCTGGGTCATGATCTTAGGATTTATTGAAGGTGTACATTGTAGAATATAGTTTTAGAAGACAGCCATTTTGTTGAAAGAATGCGGCTGGGTTACTTGCAGGTAGCCCACTTTGGACTGGGCCACATTCCAAACATTCTGGAATGGGCCACTTTC